CACAGATTGGGCTATGGAATTCTTCATTTCAAGTTAATACTGGTTTTAGAGATCACAATAGGCTTTGTGTTAGGTGATTTTGCCCAATAGGCTGATATAAGTGTTCTGAGTGTATATTCTGGCTCTAGGCCAGGACACTCAGATTACTATTTTTCATTTCATAACTAGCAAGAATGTTAAGCCAATGACACTTGTAATAGGCTAACTATGTAACTCTTAATGCCAGGTGATTTACAGGATACCAGGAGAATACTGTAAAGCTATAATAATATAGTAATTTATTTTTGAGACAGAGTCTCGCACCTTTGCCCTAGCTGGAATGCAGTGGCATCATCATAGTTCACTGCAACCTCAAATTCCTGGGTTCAATGATTAGAAGAATCAGTCTCCTTCAGCCTCCCAAGTAGCTGGGACTACAGGCACATGCCACCATGTCCTACTAGTTTTTATTTTTTTTTTGTAGAGACTGTCTCCCTCTTGTTGAGGCTGGTCTGGAACTCCTGAGCTCAAGCAGTCCTTCCAGCTTGCCCTCCCAGAGTGCTAAGATTATAGGCATGAGCTACAACTCCCTGATTTTTTTTTTTTTGAGACAGAGTTTCAACTATGTCACTTTCGGTAGAGTGCTGTGATGTCACAGCTCACAGAAACCTCAAGCTCTTGGGCTTAAGTGATTCTCCTGCCTCACTCTCCTAAGTAGCAGGGAATATAGGCACTCACCACAATGCTCGGCTATTTTTGTTGTTGTTGTTGCAGTTGTCATTGTTGTTTAGCTGGCCTGGGCTAGATTTGAACCCGCCAGCCTCGATGCATGTGGCTGGCACCATAACCACTGTGCTAGGGGCGCTGAGCCTAAATTCTATACACTTCTTAAACATCCATTCTGAAAGTTTCTGCTCTCCACTTTTTTTTTTTTTTTCAGGAAAAATGGCGAGGCCACTTATTTCCTATTACCTGGTTTATTTTCAATTATTTTGTGGCTAAGTATTTATCATTGAAGCAATTGTGGGAGCTTAACATTTCGATAATTTGGCCATCCTTCTAGAAGCTGGAAAGGTGTAAAAGTCCAAAGTTTCTCTTTTAGGAAACTAGAAGAATGTAGCATCTTTGCCAGGTTAGGATAAATAGAGGATCTGTTTTGCTTTTCATAGCACATGAACAAAATCTTTAGTTCACTGGAAATTTGAAGTGAATCTCTTTTTTTTATTAGATCATAATTGTGTACATTAATTCTATCATAGGATACAGTGTGCTGCTTCCATATGCAGTTTGGAAAACTCTCATCCAACTGGCTACCATAGCCATCATGTCTATCTCATAATTGTTGTGTTAAGACATTTATATTCAACCTTTAGACAAATTCACATGTACCCTAATAGGGTAAATTATAGGCGTGATCCCCACAATATCATTGTCTTCACCCATCCTCCCCCTCCCCTCCCCGCTCCCCTTTTCCGTAGTCTAGGGCTCCATTTGGATGCAGCTTTCCTAAGATAGCTAACAATTAGTTTCATAATAGTGTTGAGTACATTGGATACTTTTTCTTCCATTCTTGAGATACTTTGCTAAGGAGGACATTTTCCAGCTCCATCCATGTAAACATGAAGGAGGCAAAGTCTCCCATCTTTCTTTGTGGCTGTGTAGTATTCCACGGTGTACTTATACCACAATTTATTGATCCATGAAGTGAATCTCTTGTAGCTAGAGTACATGTACTATCTGGCAAGCTTACCCTTGGTAATTCATGATACCAGCTGAAGACATCAATACCAATAAGGGAGAAGATTCTTGCCAGGGGCGGGAGGATTTGCTTGGTGATGTAGTAAGTGGCATTCAGTCTTAGTGTCGGGTCCTGGAGGACTTCCACTGGGCGCCTTACCAGCTGGATAAGTGGTACTCCAGGGGTCCCATAAATAATGACGTATGGTACACGCTCCCCAACTCGTGGCTCAGAGCGTCGGTCATAAGTAAGCATTTTTCTATTGAAATCCAAATAAAATACACATTCAAAGACTGTCATAGAAGGCATCTTTCCAGCAAATTAAATCAGAATTAAACATTAATAAAACCATAAAAAATATACAGGGAGTACTTTCAAATTAGAGTTACTACTTCTTTGAGAACTATATACATTTCACTTGGCTGGCACCAAGTGGATATGCTATGTAGTATATGAGTTTAAAAACTACTCTGTAAATCATTAATACCTGGAAAATAATATGAGTTGGCAGGTATCAACTAGCTTAAGATTTTTTTTATCCCTAAAAGTAAGTGCTACTGTAAATCTAACAAGAGAAAATCTAGCTGGTTAAACTACCTGATTCTAGAATGATACCAGGTAAGTGCTTTGGTAGACTAATACTAAGGACTACCTAGTAATTATGACATGGGAAAAACAAACAAATCAAGCTGTGTATCAGATCACAATTTCATTGCTTTAAGTTTCTCAAGGAAAGCCCAGAAAAGGATTTCCTCTTCATAGCTTACCAAGTACAGGGAGCATTCACTAACCTTCAGTAATGCTTCATGTGGGCAGGTAGAGAAACAATGGTGTCTGTGCCTGTAGACCAGGTGTCTTTTCATTTATTCTAAGTCTGTACAGAATCCCAGGACTATCTTGGCTAGATACTGAGGATATCATTACCTTGTAAGTTCAAGGGCTGGCACACAAGCTCCAGGTTTATAACAAAAACTTCCTCTGTATTCCTTAGCAAAGATAAAATCCTGTATGCTGGCCTTTCCTTCCAGAAGCTTCATACATTGTCGCTGAACATATTGTTTAATTAGACTTATATCTCTTGTTTCAAACAGCAGCTTTAGAGAACGCTCAAGTATCTGATAACAAAAAAGTTATGCATGTAAAGATAAAATAATCCCCTAGTATGTTTTCATCATTGTTATACTTTCATTATATACCTACTGACTTACTGAAATAATGTTATGTACAATTAGATAATAAAAATATTAGCAACCAGAAAACATTTGAGACTTTATATGGTTAGAATGACACACAGATGAAACATCTGCTATGTGATGAGCAACATAAAACACTGATGTTTTCAGGCAGCAGCTTTGGCTCAAAGGAGTAAGGTGCTGGCCCCATATGCCAGAGGTGGCGGGTTCATACCCAGCCCTGGCCAAAACCACCACCACAACAAAAAAACAACAACAAAAAAACACTAATTTTTTTTTGGGCAGTGCCTGTGGCTCAAAGGAGTAGGGTGCCAGCCCCATAAACCAGAGGGGGTGGGTTCAAACCTGGCCCTGGCCAAAAAAAACTTAAAAACAAAAACAAAAAACCTCTGATGTTTTTCTTAGTTAAAGCAAGTTAGGCACAATAAACCAGACATGATTTCATGTATTGTTTTTTATTTATCATTATAAAAAGAAGCTGATTCAGTTAAAGAAAGAATACAGAAAAATTTAAAGATCACTAGACCAAGCAGTAAAATTAAAATCAGCATTGTACTTTTTATAATGTTGATAAATAACTGTGACAGAATTTCTTGCGCTGGGAACATGCAATGGATTCATACAGTGGACTGAATTAAAATTAGTTCTAGGTGAAAGTTCTGTATCTTATTCTGAATACTGAAAGCTATGCATATTTACTCAATAAGCTCACTAGTTTAGTTTAGGTACATTTCTGCCTATAGAAATGGGATGTATTGGATCATATCTTTTCCAGAAACTAGTACTGAAAAATATCCCAAATTTATAGCTATACAGTAGAACCTCTGGAAGTTGACCACCCAAGGGATTCTAATAAACTGCACAACATACAGAGGTTGTCTACTGTACTGATATGTACATATGGTGCACATCTGGTCTATGAAAATTAGGTCAATTTAGGGAAGTGGCTAATGTAGGGAGGTGGTCAACTGCGGAGGTTCTAGTGTATTTGACATTACATACTGAAATAATATATTGACAACTGTCAATCCATTATGCTTTTTTCTTTCTTTTTTTTTTTTTTGAGACAGTCTCAAGCTGTTACCCTGGGTAGAGTGCTGTGGTGTTAGAGCTCACAGCAACCTCTAACTCTTGGGCTCAAACAATCCTCTTGCCTCAGTTTTTCTATTTTTAGTAGAAATGGGGTCTCACTTTTGCTCAGACTGGTCTTGAACTCGTGAGCTCAAGCAATCCACCCGCCTTGGCCTCCCACAGTGCTAGGATTACAGGCATGAGCCACCGTGCCCAGCCCCATTATGCTTTTAATGCTCTCATGAAACTCCGTGTACAGAATGTTATTCCCATTTATACCATTTATTTTTGGTTTGTTACAGGAGGAGTATGGGTCTGAGTAAAGAAAAAAAATATAGGGTACTACGGTTAAAATTATTATGGTTGAGGGGTGGCACTTGTGGCTCAAAGGAGTATGATGCTGGCCCTATGGGTGGCAGGTTCAAACCCAACCCTGGCCAAAAACTGAAAAAAAAAATTATTATGGTTGAGAAACGAGTAATTTATAGCGCCACTGTTTAGAAATCTTCCTATTTGATAACCCAAGTAAAAGAAAGTTCAGTTAACCTGGGATGGATTATGAAATTTCCTTGTTGCTTCTTTTTTCTTTCTTTTTTTTAGAGACAGAGTCTCACTCTGTTGCCCTTGGTAGAGTGCCGTGGCATCACAGCTTACAGCAACTTCCAGCTCTTGGGCTTAGGTGATTCTCTTGTCTCAGCCTCCTGAGTGGTTGGGACTACAGGCACTCGTCACAATGCCCAGCTATTTTTTTGCTGCAGTTTGGCCAGGGCCGGGTTCGAACTCGCCACCCTCAGTATATGTGGCTGACACCCTACTCACTGAGCCACAGGTGCCGTCCCCTGCTGTTTCTTTTATTTATCCTGTTCCCTAGTAATGGGAATTCTTATGACAACATATCATATGATCATCTAATGGGCAGGAGACTGTTATAATGTTCATGTGTTGCTTTTTAACAACTTTTTTTTAGATACAGAGTCTTACTTCGTTGCCCTCGGTAGAGTGCCGTTGCATCACAGCTCACAGCAACCTCAAGCTCCCGGGCTTAGGTGATTCTCTTGTCTCAGTCTTCCTAGTAGCTGGGACTACAGGTGCCTGCCACAATGCCTGGCTACTTTTTTGTTGTTGTTGCAGTTTGGCCGAGGCTGGGTTTGAACCCTCCATATGGAGCTGGTGCCCTACTCACTGAGCCACAGGCGCTGCCCAACAATTTTGATAAAACAAAGTATGGGAACAAGTCACCAACTAAGAACTAAAATCAAATAACTTGTTTTCATTAGAAATAAATTTCTCAGAAGTTCATATAGTTTCTCCCATAGCTACATGTTCACTGGATTCTTTGGCTTTTTATTTCTTGGAGATGAAGACAAGATAATAAAACTTACCTTAGAGACAGCAGGGCAGGAATCTCTTCTAACTGTTTCTATTCCTTTTGCATCAAATATCGGGTCCTTTTGATCCAGTGTTTCATACATGTAACCCACATACCTCTTTTTTGTTTGTAAAACACAGGGCAAATATACCTGTGGTGAAATTAACAACATTCCTCTTAATAACCATTTTCCCCCCACTATGAATTATTTTATTTTAATGTCTTTCTGCTCTCTTTAGTCAAATGCCAATTACAAAAAAAATTAATCATGACTTAGGGTCCAATAAGTTCATAATATACCACCTAAAGGTGAAAGCACATAAAACGAATTGTCTTTCCCTTCCTCCCTTCCTCCCTCCCTTCCTTCTTTTTTTTTTTTTTTTTTTTGAGACAGAGCCTCAAGTTGTCCCCCTGGGCAGAGTGCCATGGCTTCACTGCTCACAGCAACCTCCAACTCCTGGGCTCAAGCGAGTCTCCTGCCTCAGCCTCCCCAAGTAGCTGGGACCACAGGCGCCCGCCACAACGCCCGGCTATTTTATGGCTGCAGCCATCATTGTTGTTTGGTGGGCCCGGGCTGGATTCAAACCCGCCACCTTAGGTGTATGTGGCTGGTGCCTTAGCTGCTTGAGCCACAGGTGCTGAGCCTCCTTTTTCTTTCATTACCAATTTTGTTCTTGCCTCAATTGACACTGCTCTGTCAAAAGCTGTCAATCATATTTTGGTAACAACTGAAAAAGTTATTTTATAGGTAACACCTACATATGGTGCAAACACTGATGAAAATATATCATTTTAAGTCCCTTAGCTTTGACTTTCTCTTCCCCACAGAGGCACTGTTAGTGGTTTCCTGTTATCCTTACATGCCCCTTTTCTCCCCACAATAGTAGGTTATCATATAATCCATTCTGCACGCTGCTAAATTTAATAATTTATTTGGAGAGCATTCCATCCCAGTAGAGAAAGGTCATTTTGTTTTATAGCTACATAGTAGTCTACTGTATGGGGGGGGATATCATAATTTTTTCTTTTTTGAGGCAGAGTCTCATTTATGTTGCCCTCACTAGAGTGGCTTCACAGCTCACAGCAACCTTAAACTCTTGGGCTCAAGCAATTCTCTTGCCTCAGCCTCTCAAGTAGCTGGCACTACAGGCATCCACCACAATGCCTGCCTATTTTTTTATTGAAGTTGTCATTGTTTAGCTGGCCTGGGCCAGGCTTGAACTTGCCACCTTTGGTGCATATGGCCGGTGCTGTAACCACTGTGCTACAGGCTCCGAGCTGGAATATTATAATTTATGTAACTCATTATTTACTATGGGCCACTTAGGATGTTTTCAGTCTTTTGGAATTCTAAGTAATCTCTGTCAAACAACCTTGTGTGAATTAATCTGCAGAATAAATTCCTTGACCAATGGTGTGTATCTTTTTCTTTGTATTGAATGTTACCAATTTGTTTCTTTCCCCTGCCACCCAAGCATTTTCTCTTAAAAAATACTTATTTTTTAAATTGACAAAAATTATATATATTTATCATGCACACATGTTGTTTTGAAATATGTATACATTGTGAAATGCTCAAGTTTTATCAATAATCACGTTAAATGTAAATGGTCTAAACATTCCAATTAGAAGGCAGAAAGAATCAAACTGGATAGAAAAGATCAAACTATAAGCTACTTATTAGAAATCCACTTTAAACATAAGGACATTAGGTTAAAAATGGAAAAAGATAAAGTAATGTGCCGCATAATGATATTTCTGTCAGAGGTGGCCCCATATGACAACAACATATTTTTACCTTATTTTTTTTGTGTTTAGACACATAAATACCTACCCACTGAATTACAGTTGCCTGTGGTATGCAGTATAGTAACATGCTATACAGATCTGTAGCCCAGGAGCAATAGGATATACTTTTAGTCTAGGTGTGTAGGAGGCTATCCCATCTAGGTTTGTGCAAGTATGAGCTATGAAGCTGGCACAATAATGAAACAGCCTAATGCTGCATTTCTCAGAGTGTATCTTATTGTTAAGTGATGCACAACTATGTGTGGTAATGCTAATCAAAAGAAAGCTAGAGTAGCTGTTAGTATCGGAAAAAAGTAGATTTCAAGACAAGGACTATTATCAAGGAAAAATGTGTATGCATCTAATAAGAAAAATTTGAAATACATAAAGCATAAACTAACAAAACTGGAAGGAAGGAACAAGTAAATCTCTATTTATAGATGACGACTTTAAAACCTGTCCCCTTAGCATTTGACAGAGAATCAGTAAGAACATGGAAGGCATCACTATCAACACTATCAATTAAACTTAACATAAGTAACATTTATAAAACATTCTACCTAATAACAAGAATACACATGGTTTTTCAGGAGCTCATGAAACATCTACTAAGGCAGACTATATTCTGGGCCAAATTTCTTTTCTTTCTTTTTTTT